GGTAACAAAAATATTCTAAAATCAACTGTGTTGATGGTTGCACTTTTCTGTTAATATATTAAATAACATTGAATTGTACACTTTAAATGCATTAACTGAATGCTCTGTGAATTAAATCTCAATAAAGTTGTTTTCTTAAAAAAATTCCAGAGCATTAAAAAAGGAAAATTTCAAAATTCTTTCTTTGAAGCATACATAATATTGAAACTAAACCTGACAAAGACTGCACACAATAAAGAAAACTATAGACTAATGTCACATATGACTATTAATATACCATCTTATCCACACCTCATAGCAGGATAAATTCCAAAAGATTTAAATGTGAAAAATGCGAACTGTAATGGAAAATCTAGAAGCACCAAAGACCACACTGATAAATTCAACTATGTAAAAACCAAAAAAGTTCTGCACAGAAGTTCTCATAAATAAAGTCAAAAGACAAATAAACTGGGAGAACATCTGCAAACATACAGAGTGCCAATTATCCTGTTATATAAAGAATTCCTAGAAATTGATCAGAAAAAAAAGACAGCAATAGGGGAATGAACATGGATACAGAGAGTATACCAAAAAGGAAATACAAAGGGCACTGAAACACATGAATTTGCTCAAACTCACTCCCAAAAGGAGAAATAAAAATAAAACAATACTGAGATAACATCCCCCTCCCATCAGATTGGCAAAAATCCAATTGTTTGATAATATATTGGTGGGAAAGGAACACTGTGAGGAAACTGGGACTCATGTACATTACTGGTTGGAGTATAAATTAAAAATCCCTAAAGAAGAAAATATGGCAATATCTATCAAAATTTAAAACTATTATCTTTTGACACAACAATCATACTTCTGGGAATTTATCCTACAGATATACTTACAGACATGCAAAATGACTATGTATAGGCTTGTTCACTGTACTTTTGATTGGGGGAAAAAAACCCCAAAATATTGGAAACAACCTTATAGGGGATTAGTTACATAAATTATCGTACATCCATTGTAGAATGAAGAAGCAATTTAATTTTATGTACTGACTACATTAGAAAGAGCTCCAAGGTACACTATTGCGGGGGAAGCAAAGAGCAAGTGTTACATTCTACATTTGTGTAAAAGGAAGGGAGGGGTAAGAATCCATATGTAAATGTGTCTGTGTCTGTATATATACAGACTCTGAAAATATATAAGAAACTAAGACTTTTTTTTAATGGTGAGGGACAACTAAACAGAGGACTAGAACAGAGAACAAGTTATTTCACTGTTTAATTTTTTATACTTCTCAGTTTTTCATGAACGCTTTCTCTATTCAAAAAAACAAGAAAAAATAATTGATTCATAAATAAAAAAGCAACCAAAACAAACCTTAGAAACTGGAATGTTGCTGAAATAGGAAGTATTATATCATAACCAACATCAGATATGGTGAAATCTCCCTTTTTTTACTACAAAGATAAAATTATTTCAAATATCCCTGTACTGGCCAGCCACCAAAAAAAAAAACAAAACAAAAATTATTTCAAATACAGAATAATACATGGTAAGAAAGTCAACTGTGATAAATTACGTATGTATGTTGTAATACCATAAGCAAACACTAAGAAAACAGAACAAAACAATATACATAAAAATAATATAAATAAATCAAGATGGAATCTTAAAAAATTTTCAAGTAAAGCACAGGTAGGCAAGAAAAAAGAAACAGAGGAACAAGTAATGGAAGAAACAAATAGAAAACAAATAAAATGGCATACTTAAGTCCCACCATATCAACAATTACCCTAAGTGCAAATGATCTAAGTAAAAAATTAAAAGATAAAGATTGGCAATGTGGATTAAAAAAAACCTCACAAGCACACTATATGCTGTCTACTCGCTTCAAACACAACATGAAGAGGTTAAAAGTAAAAAGATGGGAAAAGATATACTATGCAAACATGAATCAAAATTACGTTACCTATAATTAATATAGGTAAAGTAGACATTAGAAGAAAATAGAACTCACTACATCTAATCAACATGATACCTGACATGACAGAAATCACTTTAGTTCTCTATTACATAGCGTAAATATACTAATGCAGGCTGGATTTCATCATTTAACTTATGCGGCAAACTTTCTAAATTGAAATTAGAATACAATTTTAAGAGAAGAAAAAATAAAATAAAATATCAGTCCATATATATGTATGCGTGTATACATATATATGTATATATAAAGTATACTGTATATATATATATATATACTGTATATATATATAAAGTATACTGTATATATACTATACAGTATATATAATTTTCTTTCCTCTAAAGTCTACTTTATACATATAAAGTGTATATATATATATATACACTTTATATAAAAAAGTATATATGCTTTATATATACTTTATATAAAGTCTATTTTATATATACTTCATATATATAAAATAGACTTTAGAGGAAAGAAAATTATTGGAGAAAAAAAAGGATACTACATAACGAGAAAAAAACAATCTCCGGGAAGACATGATGTTTCTAAGTATGTATCCACCAAACAATAAATACATCAAAATACATGAAACAAATACTGAGAAAGCTGTTTTTGCAGTAACGAAGTCCAACAATACCCCACTCTCACCAACTGATAGAACTACTAAACAGAAAATTCAGCATGGAAATAGAACTGAACAGCACAATCAACCAACAGAATCTAATTCATGTATATATAGAACACTCCACCCAACATCAGCATGAAAGATATTTTCTCAGGCACCATAAAATATTCACCAAGGTAGAATATATTCTGGGCCAAAAAACAAACCTCAGCAATTTAAAAGAACTGAAATGATACAGAGTATGTTCTCAGACCATAATGGAATCAAACTAGAAATCAATAGCAAAGAGACCACAGGAAAATCTCTAAACATTTAGAAATTAAACAGCATAATTCTAAACAATCCATGAGTTAAAGAGGAAGTCTCAAAGGAAATTTAAAAACATAAAATTGAATGAAAATGAAAACACAGATATCAAAATATATAGGGATGCAGCTAAAGCAGTGCTGAAAGTTATCACAAATGTATTTATACAAATGTAGACATAAATGCTAAATGTTTTCTTTTTGGTTTTTGCTTTTTTTGAGGCTAGGCAGTATGGGGAAAATGTTAAATGTTTAGAAAAGCGAAAATGTCTTAAATCAAAAATCTAAGTCCCAACCTCAAGAAACTAGAAGAGTAAAATAAATCCAAAGAAAGATAATAGAATGTAAAACAGAAAAATGATGGAAAAGGGGCCGGCCCGGTGGCGCACTGGATAGTGCGCCGCTTGGGAAGCACGGCGGCACACCCGCCCGAGGGTTCGGATCCCACATACAGACCGGTTCCCGCTCACTGGCTGAGCGAGGCGCGGGAGCAACACCGAGGGTTGCGATCCCGTTGCCGGTCCCCGGTCCGGTACGGGGGCAACACTGAGGGTTGCGATCCGTTGCCGGACACGGAAAAAGACAAAAGACAAAAAAAAGAAAAAAGAAAAATGATGGAAAAGATCAATGAAACAAAAATCTAGTTCTTAAAAAAACTCAATAAAACTGATGTCTCTAGCAAATCTGACAAAGAAAAAGAGAGACAACACAAACCACTAATAACAGAAATAAAACATGAGACATTAATATAGATCCTATAATCATTAAATAGATAATAAGGAACTACTGCAAACAAATTTACACTCATAAATTTGACAACTTAGAAGAAATGGGCCAATTCCTTAAAAACCACAAAATACCAAAACATAAACAAGATGAAACAGATAATCTGAATAGTCCTATAACTATTAAAGAAATTGTATTCATAATTTAAAAGCTCCCAACAGAAATCTCCAGGCCCAGATGACTTTATACGAGAATTCTACTAAACATTTAAAAAAGAATTAGACAGGCTGGATAGCTCAGTAGGTTAGAACATGGTGCTGATAATACCAAGGTCCAGAGTTTCAGCCCTTTACCAGCCACTGTCAGCCAGCCAGCAATAAATAAATAAATAAGAATTAACATCAATCTTACACAGTCTGTTCCAGAAAACAGAAAAGGAAGGAGCACTTCCAAACTATTTTTATGAGGCAAATATTACCCTGATACCAAAACAAGACAAAGATGGTACAAAATAAGAAAAGTACAGATCAATATATCTCATGAACGGAGACATAAATTGAATTCCACAATGTATGAAAAGAATTACACACTATGAACCAGTGGGATTTATTTCAGATATGCAAGGCTGGTTCAACAGAAAAATCAGTAACTATAATCTAGCGTGTCAATAGACTAAACAAGAAAAAACATGATTATATCAATTGAACAGAAAAAGCATTTGACAGGATCCAACTCCTATTCACAATAAAAACTCCCAGAAAACTGGGAATGGAAGGAAACTTCCTCAATCTCATAAAAAGCATCTACAAAAAACCAACAGCTGGCATCATATGTAATGGAGAAAGACTAAATGCTTTCTCCTTAAGATCCGAAACAAGGCAAAGATGTCTGCTCTCCATATTCCTACTCATTCAACATAGTATTGGAAATTCTAGCCAGTGGAATAAGACAAAAAAAGAATAAAAGGCAAACCAATTAGTAAGGAAGAAATAAAACTGTCCCTATTTACAGATGACACAATTGTGTACAAAGAAAATCCCAAGGAGTCTACATAAATACTCCTAGAATTAATATTAAGTTAGTTCAGTAAGTTCAAAGGATACAAGATCAATACTACTTTTATATACTAACAACAAACATGGAAATTAAAAATAAGATCACAATACCATTTATAATCACTCCAAGAAAATAAAATATTTAGGTATAAATCTAACAAAATATGTACAGGATCTATATGATGAAAACTGTAAAGCAGTGATGAAAGAAGTCATAGAAGACCTAAATAAATGGAGAGTCATACCATGTTCATGGACTTGAAGACTCAGAGAACTGGTGATTGGGAAAGAATTACATCTTGTAAATAATTTCCAGTTACCTGACTCCTGTTTGATTTGGATGGTAGGTTTGATACCAGGTGGCAAAGGAGACTGCTGAAGTTGTTGCTGATGAGATACTGGAGAAGGCTGGGCCACTTGTTGCTGTGTCTGTTGTTGCACTTGATGTAACTGCTGCTTAGGAGACTGTTGATGCTGTTTAGGAAACTGTGCAAGAATCTGAGTTGGGGCACCTACTAAGCTCTTGGGGGAAGGAAGTCTGGTTGATGCCATTTTGATTGCTGATGTAGATACACCTGTAGAAGAGTAAGGGAACAGAGAATTTAATAGAAAAGCAAAATTAAAGTTATTTTTGGTTATTATAGTAGATAATAGTTTAAAGACTCGGTAAATCAATAAAAATTGTTATTTACTGTGCACCTAGCAAATGTCAGATAAAATGTGTGGTGCTTTACATATTTGATATCTAGCCCTCAAACTCTGCAAGGGAGGCATCTTTGCTCTCAGACTCAAAAAATGAACTGATTTTCTCTTGGTAAAGAGTTAGAATGAAAGAAACAAAATATCAGACAGGATGTTCACAACCCTAGGTCTTTCAATAGACTTTCGGTTAGAAAAACTAGGTTCTCAATATAAATAAGAACAAAGCTAAATAATTATTTTTTAATCTTATTTATAAGTAATAGATTTTTCAAATACTACTTTCCAGGTTCTAATCAGCCAATTTAAACATGACATCAGATAAAATCACTCACATGAACATTCATCTTTTGAATTATTTAGCAAGGCAAAGTAGCTTTTCTACATCTCATTTTCAGTAATCTATAAATTAAAGTTATTTCTTGAGAACTCTAATTGGGCCCCTAAATAATCATGTGAAAAGTTACAAGTGAGCATTCTCAATATACCCACAGCAAAAAAATTCTAATAGAAGGTTCTTTTCAGTGCAATACTAATATCTGCAAGCACTCATAGCTAAGGAGTACTAGTAACTTCCACTAAAGACATGAGTTTGAGAAATTCTTCCCTCTCCCAGATTTTTCATCTGTAATTTTCTTATAATTCATCAACTACTCAACAGGATTTATTGTCTGTCAATGAGTTAATATTCCTAACAGAGAGAACATGGAATGTAATTCACTTAACTTTTTAAGCACTGCTGAAACAATGAAAAGAAACTAAGTTAATTGCCTAATTCTCAAGTCCTTAGGATGTATTTTCATACCTTCCTCTACCACATGACAAATACATTGCATTACAAAAAAATTTTAATATAATATCACACTTTTATGTAAAATGTCTCTAGAGAATGATGAAGATGGAGCAGGATAAACCTTTAGAAGTCACTCTGACTCTCCAGAACTCAGCTTCGTCACTTGTTGAATTTTTTCTTGCCCTACAAGTCTCTAAGAGTTGCTGCATGGATCAAGTAAGACCAAAGATTAAAGAACACTTTGAGAAGAGACAAAAGGCTTACTCACATTACTTACACAGTTCCCCACCCACCCTTCCCTGAATACTAGTGCAGTAGAGGGGATAGCTGTGCTGAACTAGACTATCTCTGTAGCCCCTTTCAGCACCAACATTTTATGACTCAATGAGTAAAAGGTGTAATACAAGTGAAAGATTATTTTTAAACTATTAAAAGCTTTAATCATTATATTGCACTCATAATGTATAATCTTGAGGTTAAGTGTGCACATAAATAATTCCCTAACTAAACTATGATCTCCATATACTTTTATATAGAAAAAGTGTCTGATGTAAAAGCATTCAGGCAGACTTTAAAATCAGAGAATTATATTTAAATTGTGCCTTCAACATACAATAGCTGTGAGACCTGATTAAAGTATTTAAACTGTCTGGATATTTATTCATTTAATAAAAACTTATTGAGCACATACTTTACACTAGATCCTGAGGAATCTATTATGTATCCCTGAAACAGTCCCTACCTTCAGGCAGTTAAAGTTTAGAGAAGACAATCAAATGATCACACAAATCATTACAAACCAATAAATGTTTCTTTTGTTTCAACAAGTAAAATGTCCTCTTCCTATTCCTTTGCCCTTAAGCTTCCCAAACAATTTAGTACTAAAGCCATCAGGTGGCACAAAGCAAGATGGACAGCTAGGCTGCTAAACAGAAGAGTGGCCTAGCATGGAGTGTCAGAGTGCACTGTGGTGACTGGCCTAGCAGGGGAGTGAGAGGCAAAGTAGGATGAGGAGGGCATGCACACTGGGGCAGCTCAGCATGTAAAGTTAGAACCCAGGTAGGATGAAGAGGATTTCCATGAGTGTGAACTACCATGAAAGTCTGAAAGCTTGGGCAGGGTGTCCACAGAAAGGGATGGTTAGGGTGGATATCAGAGTCCAAACAGGGTGAGAGCTTCTGAGTGGGAAGGCCACCTGGCACAGGTGTCAGAGCTGACCAGGGTGAGATAGGCATCCATGAAAAGAGGTGGCTGAGGGGAAGGGTGTCAGAACTCAGGTGAGGTAAGGTAGGAGTATGCAGAATGTCAAAGCCTGAGTGGGGTGAGGAGAGCATCTGCACAGGGGAGGGGGCAACAGCAGCAACAACAAGAGATTATTGGTTATATACCAGGAGACTGATAAAATAATTAAGAATATTAATGAAAGCTAGGTTTTTCACTGCCAAAGAAGGGAAGGGAGAAAACTAGAATTAACATGTAGTATTTGAATGAAACTGATATATCAGTATGAACTCGCAGTTTTCAAAATATAGATGTAAATATTTGTTTACATACACACACACACATTCCCTAGCAATGAGCATATCTAGCATCCATCCAGATCTTAGCTTCTAAGTATCACTTCCCACTAAAAGGAACCAGGGATCCTTGAAGAAATGGCTGATCCCAAAGCTGTAGCAGGAAAAGTATAAGATGAGCTTGGTAAATATAAAAGACTCTTTTTTCCCCTCTTTCATAATTTCTTCAAAAAAAATCACCTGTTTGAAGCAAAAATATTACCAATGGAATGTGAGGTTTATAAAATATACAGAATTAAAATGTATGACAACCAGAGCACAAGTATGGATGAGAGAAAATGGAAATGTACGATTTAAAAATTTTAACACAATACATGAAGTGGTATATTATTTGAAGGTGGACTGCTATAAATTAAAAATGCATACTGTAAGTTTACAAAGCAGAGTTCTCAACCAAGGGCAATTTTGCCATCTCCCTCCCAAATGCCCAACGATATCTGACAATCTCTGGAGACATTTTGATTGTCATGACAGAGGGTATACTACTGGCATCTAGTGGGTAGAGGCCAGAGTTGCTGCTAAACATCCTACGATGCACAGGTTGGCACCCATAACAAAGACTTATCTGGTCCAAAATGTCAATAATGTGAAGGTTTACTCTAGAGCAACTATTTTTTTAAAAAGTGCAGCTAATAAGCCAATAAAACGATAAAAAGGAATCATTAAAGAAAAACCGAAATAAATCCAAAATAAGATTGGAAAAGAGCAAAAGGAACAAAGAACATATGAGACAAATAAAAACAATCGTTAAGATGGTAGGCAAACTCAATCAAATTGATAATTACACTGACTGGATAAAAATGAAAGAATGAAAAAAATATACTTCGAGCAAACACTAATCATAAGAAAGTTGGAATAGCTACATTAACATCAAAAAAGGCAAACATAGAAAATCAATGGCAACATCCAGGGGTTACCACAGATAAAGAGGGACAGTTCATAATGAGGAGGGAGTCAATCCATCAAGAAGATACAAAAATTCTAAATATGTTATGGACCTAATAACAGAGTTCAAAATACATGAGACAAAAAACTGACAGAATTAAAGGGAGAAATGTAAAAGCCACAATTACAGCTATTCTCTCTCAGTAACTGACACAAGGAGACCAAAAAAAAAAAAAAAAAGCCCGAAAATCAAAAAAGTAAAAACAAAGAGGATTTGAACAATTCTATCAACCAATTTAATCTCATGGACATGCACGTGACCAAATGAAAAGTCAATTGTTCTAAAACCATTTACTGAATAATCTAACGCAGCGCACACTCTTGGTTGCCTACCTAATTTCATTTCCCCTCCGCTCTTCCTCCTTTCTATTAGAACCCTGTTTTCTCTCCCCAAGATTCGACTTCCCTGGGAATTGGCATGCACTTCTGGGGAGGCTGGCCTCAAGCCAGTCCTAGAGGACAACTCTTAATTGATCTAAACCAGTCATGGTGGCCCCATTACTTTTGCCAGGGACTACTTTAGGCTAGGATATATAACAAAGCTGTGGCCAACATGACATGAGAGGAATCTTCTCCTGGGAGGCTTCTGGGAAAGGTTTTTCTCTTTCCTAAGAGAGACCCACAGAAGGGGGATGTCTCTTCTTTCTCTGGACATTTTCACAGCTGAATGTGACACCTGAAATGCACTCATCTTGCCCATAATGGGAGTTACCTGAGAAAAAAGCTCATACACCAACGAAAACAAAAAAGGTGAGAAGAAACTCCTTCATGGCTCCAATGAGCTACTGCCTCCCTTCTTCCGGACTTCTGGATTTGTGCGGTAATAAATTTTCTTATTGTGAAAAACCAATCACTCAATCAATGCAGATTTATGTGAAGTCATTCATTCAATCACTTACCACATTTTGCAAGTAAATTTGGATAGTAACAATTCAGGGGCTCTGTAACAATTAATTTATTAAACATCTGAATGCCCAAAAGAATACAGTCTGCTGTGACTATTCCTAAAGCAAACATATTAGTCCATGTTTGGAGGAATTATGGTTCAGGCTACATTGGTAATTTTGAATAAATATGAAATACTCAAGAGTTTTTAACATGAGCCCTAGAGAAAGAATGAAGCCAAAAAAAAAAAAAAAACACAAAAAAAAGTTCTGGATTTGTGCGGTAATAAATTTTCTTATTGTGAAAAACCAATCACTCAATCAATGCAGATTTATGTGAAGTCATTCATTCAATCACTTACCACATTTTGCAAGTAAATTTGGATAGTAACAATTCAGGGGCTCTGTAACAATTAATTTATTAAACATCTGAATGCCCAAAAGAATACAGTCTGCTGTGACTATTCCTAAAGCAAACATATTAGTCCATGTTTGGAGGAATTATGGTTCAGGCTACATTGGTAATTTTGAATAAATATGAAATACTCAAGAGTTTTTAACATGAGCCCTAGAGAAAGAATGAAGCAAAAAAAAAAAAAAAACACATAAAAAAGCAAAACCATTTATGTGAAGGGTAAAGATGATACATAAATGTAAGAACATTACTCATGTTTTGT